GTTCAAGTGCTTGAGACAGACGTAGTTCTCTTTTAGACACCCAGTTCTTGCATATTTTCTTTACTTGGATGGGAAATGAGGAAAGGAGAGAAGGAAAATAGCGGATAGGTAAAAAAAATCTTGGTGGGAATGAATCCATATTTTGTATGCCATTTAATGCTTTCTGTCAGTTCACAGAATTTGTGAACATGCTCATTTTTACATTACACTGTGAATATTGTCTTTTTATATTTTGCCTGGATTTGGCCAAAGTGAACTATTTCAGTGGCACAGAAGACATTTGAGTCAAAAGTGATAGAACTGTGGAAGACACTCTCAGCTGAGTTAACTCTAGCATTCATTAAGATGATTTCTGAAAGAAAACTCATGCTTTATTATGGCAAGAAGCCCATCAGGAAGAAAGGGTGAAAATTATCTGTCATAGTCTTGGAGAACACGGTAATTAAGGTCTGAAATACGTCCCAATTTAAAGACAAGATTAGTTCAGACAGCGTTAACTGTTTGAACAATATCCCTTTGCCAACTATATTTTAAAGTGACACATTTCACTAGGAATACTTGGTTATGAAATCTGACAATTTTCAAAAGGAAAACATTTATAGCTCTTTAACTCAGAATATGTTTGTTCTAAGGCTACAAAAACTGGATGACCACAAGATGACAGCAGAGAGTTAGAGTTTTCTCTACCTCTTCACTACCATCTAGTGCCTCTTTGCATTTATGCAGTCCAAAGTTGGTACCCTGTATGTATTTCTCTAGGCTTAAATTACTGCTGTGATATAGCCAAGCTGTAATCTACTTCTACTTTAATAACTAGGGTTGTAAATACGCCTGACTGTTTATTTCCTGTATATCTTATTGTGGGATAATTTAATGGCAGCAATTGTTTTCTGTCCACTAGCATCACCATCTAGTGGGAAAGAACCACTTACCAAGAGCCTTGGTGGCGCAGTGGACTAAACTACTGCTGTTAAAGTAGTATTTAGCTGCCAGCTGCCTACAATTACTGCAAGTTCAATTCTCACCAGGCTCAAGGTTGACTCAGCCTTCCATCCTTTCGAGGTAGGTAAAATGAGGACCCAGTTTGTCGAGGCAATAAGCTGACTTTGTATAAAATAGAACACCGCTCAGGGGCCCTCAAAAAGCCCTATTAAGCAGGTATATACAAAAGTATGAAGGTTATTGCTTAATGCATTGTAAGCCGCCCTGAGTCTCTGGAGAAGGGCAGCATATATAAATCGAACTAATAAATAAATAAATAATAAATTGCTCTTCTTAAAATGAACTCAAGTGGGCTATTGTGAATTGGTGCCTGAAAGATGGCATTAGTCAGCTTTTAAGTTGCCACACACCAGTGACATTGCTAATGTATCAGTATCTTTAATAGTTGAATGACTTTGCATGTGGGAGACAGTGAATCATCTGACATAGTTTCTGGTGCAGAAATTCTGAGTCCAACCTAGAATTTCTATGTACAGCAAATCTGTTTTACGACACTTGCATATTAGAGAAATAATAAATATTAGGACTAAATAAAGTCTCCTTCCCATCAGATCATTAAATCTGGAGTCTGAAATATTTTCCTATATTAAGTAATATCTAAATATATTGAGTGAGCAAATAAAGGTAAAGACTGGACCCTGTCCAGTCATGTCTGACTCTAGGCCATGGTGCTCATCTCCATTTCTTGGCCGAGGGAGCCAGCATTGTCCAAAGACATTTATCATGGTCATGTGGCCAGCATAGCTATATGCCAAAGGACCATAGAATACTATTACCCTCCCACCAAAGTGGTACCTATTAATATACTCGCATTGACATGCTTTTGAGCTGGAAAGCTGACGGCCTGGGTTCGAGACCCAAGACCCAAGTCCCAAATGCAATGGGGCGAGCTCCCGTTCCTCATCCCAGCTCTTGCACAGTGATTATGTGTTTACTGAAACAACTGAAAGGAAAAATATTATATTGTAATGGTTAAGCCCTACACAGCTGGGAAGATCAAGGAAGCAAGACTACAGGAAGACCTTAATATACAACCTTTCATTTAGCAACTGTTCAGAGTTATTACATCACTGAAAAAAGTGACGTACAATGGCTCCTTGCACTTATGACCATTGCAGCATCCTCACAGTCATGTGATCAAAGCTCAGGCACTTGGTAACCGGCATGTCTTTACAAATGGTTGCAGTGTCCCAAGATCATGTGATCACTATTTGCAACCTTCTCAGCTGGCTTCTGACAAGCAAAGTCAATGGGGGAAGCTGGATTTGCTTAATGACCATGGGATTCACTTAACAAGTGTAGTGTTTTGTTTAACAACTGTTACAAACAAGTTCACAAAATTGGGGACTCACAACAACCAGGTATCAAAACCTGATAGGGATGTAATTCCTTGCCCTCCGCTCTTCTTGGAGGTGGTGCAGAGTGGATGGGGTCAACCTCCTTGACAGCACCAAGTGGTCTGGACAAGAAACTCTACTGTTCTGCTCCAGAATTGGAGAAGCTTTTGACCTTGCCTACGGTAGATGCGCCTGTTTAGCAATGAAAATTCTGGTCTCAGTTGTGGTTAAGTCAAGGACTACCTGTACATAGATTTCAATCAGGTATTTTTGGTACTAATCTGGGGTGAATATATAATTTTGGAAACTATAAGAAGAGTTGCCCTCCTCCTTCATTTATAGTGAATTAATTAAGGCAGAGCCCCTTTGAATGATTTGAAATGTCCTCCTCCAACTAAATTTATGAAATTAATTGCCAACTGATATACCTGCTATTTCTTGATTGTTTCTTTCAGGTCTTTTCAGCCTGCCTAAAAATCTCTTAAAATTTCTTCTACATTAAATAGCACTGCTCTTCAATAGTTGAGGACGAAAATATCTACAGCATATTCTTTTAAAAAATTTGTGTTGAAAATGTATGGCTCCAAGAATACTAAACCGAGTATTATTTATAATTTATATTATAATTTTCTTTAAAAAATGGTCACCTTTTTGACTTTTATACTGTAACTCTAAACAAAAAGAAAGCATATCCTTTCAAATATTTGCTGATATGAATATGAATATGAATAGCCATCTCGGTCTAGTTATTAAAGTAAAGGCTAGAAACTGGGAGACTGAGTGCTAGTCTCAGTCATGAAAGCCAGCTGGATGACTTTAGGCTAGTCACACTTTTCTCAGCCCAGCCTACTTCATGGAGTTGTTGTGGGGAAAATAAGAGGAGGAAGGAATATTAGATATGCTCACCACCTGGAGTTGTTTAAAAAATAATAAAGGTGGGAAATAAATAAATAAAAAAAACAAACAAGCCTTTGAATCAGTGTTGACTTCTGGCAACTCCATGGAGAAACTCATGCAATTTTCTTAGCAACATTTTCTTCCTAGGACTGGCCGAAGCTCAGCCACCGATTTCTGGGTTTCTTACCTGGTGCCTTACACCGAACTGGTTCTCCTATGAATTCATTGACTCAATGAGCAATTGGACCCGAGGAAAATATGGTTGCCCATGAATTAGAGGCCATTGTCATATCTTGCTTGCTCAAAAACACTTTACCAGCAGTTTTTGAGAGACATGTCCTCTTGCCTTCCTCTGACTTCCAATTGCTACTGATGTAGCCTGGGACTCTTTGTAATTGTTGCACTGTGGAGGGGATGTTTTTCTTCTCCTCTTGGTAGCTTCCAAATTTCCATGTGGACATTCGAGGCTACTGTGGAGGTGATCCTGGAATTTAGGCAAGCAGGAACCTCAATCTGCTCATTTCCAATTGACCCAGCAGACCTGTTTTAGCATGCTGGATGTGGTGTTTTTGTGGCCATTGGATTGGGCTGTGAAAGACACTGGAGACATGGTCTTTTCTCAGACTGGAATCTGAAACTTTCAGGAGCCTGATCTGTCAGCCAAGATCCTGCTATTTGGTGTGTTTTTGCCTTATGGATATCAGTAGTATATGTGCTGGGAAAATTGTAGAGAAAGTGCAGGTGGTACAAACACCTACCTACAAATGTGAAATGGGTATAGATTGGTGAGCAGAGATACTTTGCCTAACAAAAAATGATGGGCAGGACAAATGGGTTGTAGGGAAAAAAAGGAAAAAAACAGCTCAGAAGCACAATAGCCCTTGTTTGGGCTCCTATGCTTTGTATTTGTATTCAGCCACTGAAGCAGACTTTGTGTGTGCGTGTGCTGTGGGGTGGAGGTGGGGAGTTGTTTGACATCAGTATATCGATCTTCTGCTTCTCTGACAGGACTATTAATCTCCCCGGAGATCAAGAGTCCTTAGAAACTATTTTATTAATGCTGCCATCTAGAGGTCACCCAGATTACCTGGACAACCTCTAGATGGCAGCATTTATAAACAGGCTGAATTAGGACCAAGAATCTGCCAGATTGATGGTGGTGTCAGAAAAAACATGCACAAAGTAATAAAAATTACTTATTTCAGTTTTGTATAGGTGTGTTTTTAAAAAGGGGGTATGTACCTGAGTCTGTGGAAAACTCTTCTATTGAATTTCTGTGCTGGATCTCTGCGTTTCTGGCATTTGTCTTTGGTCTAACCAGGAAACAAAGCTTAACTAGTGGCTGGTATTTTTTTTATTCTCCTACAACACAAATATTGCTTATGGATGTGGATATATCCATGTGTTTCTTCTAATACTGGAGTCTTGACACACAGGTGAAGCTCACCAGTGGCATTCTAGGATGATGCACACACTTTCTCTCTTATGGAACCAAGCCAAAAGTGTTTACTTTTCTCTGGACCAACGCACACAACACACACACACACATACACAACACAATCCTTCACTTTTTGCATCCAGAGACAGGGAGGAAGTACCTTACTTGCTGATTTTCCTCCTCTCCTGCCCCAAACTTTAAAACTTGCTTGTAGAGCTTTTCTCTCTGCAAAGGAAACCCCACCGCTTTTGGTTGTGATGTGTGTCTGAGCCTTCAACATTTAAATACTGGATTTTTCCACTCTTTGTTCCTTTTTTCTTTTCTTTCCACCAGCAGAGCTGCCTGCAATACAGCTTCGGAGATCCACTTGCCAGAAACCACGGGGCTGCTGTGGGCAGAGAAGGTGTTGGGAAAAAAAATGCAAAGATTTTTTTGCGGGTGTTTATGTGTGTGCAGCGAGAGCCAAAAAGCGTACCTGCTTTAAAATATCTATAACTTCACTCTAAAGAGAAGGGCATCCTTCGGCTTCCCTTCTGCAGGGATTCAGACAAGCTGTAGATGGCAAATAGTTTCATAGGTCGCTTGATCTCCTGGGAGATCAGCAGTCCTATCACAAAAAGCATGCAGTACATAATGAAACTTAAGGCTTGAATAACCGCCCCCCCCTTCCTCCTCTCCCTGCTCCCGGCCACATATTGAGTGTGATTGGTGGCTGGTTTTCGTGCTGGTGGGTGTTGCTAGGTGGGAAGAGAAAGGATGGCAGGGAATCCACCAATCGGTGCCCTGTCACTACCCCACATTAGATTGTGGAAGGACATCCACATGGTTGCTGAGGCTCCTTCAGAGTAGGCTGTGGGGGCTGTGTGATTTATGTTGATATGCTCCAGATGAATTGCCTGCAAGGTCCCTTCTGCCTGATTGCAGCCATTCAACAATTTGCCTTTTTGAGGGGCAGCAAATACAAAGCTGAGCCTGCAAGAATAGCTGAAAGCAGCAGAGTTAGGACTTAGGAATCATTCTGTGATTCACAGGATAGAAGACTGGCCCATCCGAGGCAGCTTTGTATCAATTCACGACCACTGATATTAGCCCCATTTTATAAAGCCTTAGTAAGACCACACTTAGAATACTGCATCCAGTTTTGGTCTGTATATTATAAAAAAGATGTAGAGACTCTGGAAAGAGTGTAGAAAAGAGCAACAAAGAGGATGAGGGGGCTGGAGACTAAAGCATATGAAGAACCATTTCAGGAATTGGATTTGTCTAGTTTGGTGAAAAGAAGGACTAGGAGTGACATGGTAGTAGTGTTCCAATATTTGAGGGGCTGTCACAAAAAAGAGGGGGGTCTATTTTCCGAAGCACCAGAAAGCAAGATAAGAAACAATGGATGGAAACTAATCAAGGAGAGAAGCAACCTGGAATAAAGGAAGAACTTCCTATCAGTGAGCACAATTAACAGTGGAATTTCTTGCCTTCAGAAGTTTTGGGTGCTTCATCACTGGAGGTTTTGAAGAAGAGACTAGACAGCCACTAGTCTGAAATAGTATAGGATCTCCTCCTTATGCAGGGCTTTGGACTAGAAAACTTTAATGATCCCTTCCAACTCTATTATGTTCTGAGGACTTTGGCTGAACTAGATTCACAGATTCTGCTTAATCCTACAGTGGTTTCCCCAGTTGCAGCTTATTTTAAATGTGTACATTGAGCCATTATGACTTGAAAATGATAATTTGTCATTATCATCTAATAACCTATCAGAATAGGTTATTTTCTATTTCTCTAAAAGAAGACTGGGACTTTTTCAGACTAAACCCAGAGAGAGTGATAGAAATAGGGGAGCTGGAGGAAAAGAAACAGGCAAAATACAGAATGAGAAGTTGGTTCAGTTCTACAGTTTGGTTAGAGAAAATGCTACTTTAAGGTTTGACTGTTCCTTGTTCTTTTCAATTTGGCTGTTGCCTGCTTGGTTTTGCTTGACTAATAGCACACATACCTACATACTGAAAAAAAGGTTAGAATGCTTATTGGACAAATAAAGGATAGACAGCTGAGCTATTGAACAGAATTCTTTTGTAAAAGGCCTAGCTCTATTTAATAGTTATTATTCATGCAGAATAATTACTAGTTTAGTGATTTGGGGAAAAGTCAAGTATAGAAGAATGTCCATTAAATAAACTAGTAACGAAATCAAAATAGCTTTGCAAGCTGTTATTTATCAATGGCCAGTGGTGGTTGTCTGAAGAATTGGAATTGTAGTAATAGCAATTCTCTCTTCTCCTAATAAGGTTCTGAACAGCTGCTTTTGCTACCTATTCAGTAATTGAAGTTCGTTCTCTCTCTCTCTCTCTCTCTCTCTCTCTCTCTCTCTCTCTCTCTCATCTCCCTAGGTCAGCGTAACTCTTATTTTTTTCAATTTAATTTTTCAGTAGCTGGACAGAAGCTGGATGAAATCTTCAATTTACTGCTGGGTAGATAACAAAGCATATCATACCTGCTTCAAAGATCTCGACAGCCATCAAGCTTTTCAGGGGGTTTCCTAGTGGTTGTTTTGATTTTTGTGGCCCACTTACATTATAGCTAAAGTATAATGTGGAGATTGGGGAAATGAGAATCATCCCATTCCATCTACGTATCTCAGTAGACATCCACTCTGAATGAGGAAACGCTCCAGTTTTGAAGGTTTAAGATTCCAGGGATTATATGTAGTACACTTTGCCCACAACAGATCTGCTTGTTCTTTGAGCTATAAATCTTTTCCTTCCTGTTGTTGTGATCCAAATATTATATTTTTAAAAAGGAAAAAAAAAAGAGAGAAAAGAAATCTCTCCAAATTCTGGTGCCATAGCTGTGCAAGAGGTGAAGAAAATTCTCTTTTCCTGCACCACAGGTTTTGATTAGTGGAACTGTTCTGGATGATTTACAGTGTGAATAATGTCGCTTGTTTGCATCTGGTGGCAGAGTCAAGTGTTTCTCACTGTGAAGAAATTTCAAATTACTTTTCAAATAAGATCACTCAAATCCAGGCTGACATGCTTGTCCCTGTATTAGCAAATTCATGACTTTTTATTGTTTTGTTAAGGCTTTGGCACAGTAGTGTTCCTATGATCAGGAGTTTTGAAGCAATTTTTAAGAAATCCTTCAATGCAATTTTATCTCTTAACTTATAATACAGCTTGATTAGCTGCAATTGGATGTGTCTGGTATAGAAAGGAGTTGAGGGTCATAAAAAGGGGAAACTATGCAGGATACCAGCTGTTCTCAAGTACAAATGGGAGCTTTTCCCTCATGTGTAAGGTTCTTGTAAGGCTGGGGATATAGTAGTTGGATTATGAAGATCATTTGTCTCAGCCATGGGAACTCATTGGGTGGCATTGGGGCAGTCCTTCTTAGATCGGCCTGCTATAAAGGATGTTATTGTTTTGGGGAAAATGGGAAGAAGGATGCAGAGAGCTCCTGGAAGAAAAACAGCGTACAAATCTAATGCAACAACAATAAGGGAAGGCTAGAAACTGAACTATTAGAGTCAGTGCCCAGTTGATTAGACTGTGAGAAGCATTCAGACAAACAAAATACTAGTAATATCCATTTCTATCAGCTGCAGAAAGTTTCTGCATGTTACACACTTGTGTGTTTAATAAAGAGCATCTATTAACTTAGAGGGAAGGAAGAGAGACCTACCTGATGGTGTAGAGCAGGGCTGTGAAACTCCTGGCCGCGGGCCGGATGTATCACGCCTTGGCCACGCCCACACCCAGTTTAGCAAAGGGGAAAAAAGTCCCAATACATCACATGACACTGACGTGACGACGTGAGTTTGACACCCCTGGTGTAGAGATTCTTTGATATTCCACAGTGGTTTTTTGGCCCTTTTAGCAGAATGCTTTCCCTTGGTCTTATAATACACAATAAAAAAAATAAACAGAAGTTTTGTATCAAATGGAAAGGGACTAGAAATGCAATCTTATGCATGTCTGCTTAAAAATAAAGCTTTTGGGATTTCAAAAGAAACAGTTACAATAAAGGTATATAGAATTGTAACCTAAATTTGGAAGAAACGATGTTTGCAAAGACTTCTAGTTATTTCCGTTAGAAGTCTAATAATGCAACTTTTGCTAGTGTGGAAATAAAATATACCTTGAGTGCTATTAATAGCCTGGAATCCATAGAGTACTCTCTGGCTTAAGCCATTATCCTTTGTCTGTAATAAGGCCATTAATTATTCTCAGCCATTCCAACAGTATAAAGTACATTATAGTTTAGCTTTTAGGACAAGATAAAGGTGACCCATAATAATTATCCAGGGTATAGGAATAAAGTAATACCTCAAGGAGGCAAAATGAGAATATAGGTAAGTATTTTTAGAAGTAAAGGTATATTAGGGTGTAGATGGGTATTTTTGCTGCAGCTGTAAAGGAATAATATGTAAATGAATGAACTGTTAGAAAATGGTTATTGGCAGCTTAGCAGTAGAACTCATACTCTGCATTTAGTCTTGACTATTCAGAGGTGTGTGTGAAGAATAAAATCTTATATGTAAGCTGCTGTGAGTTAGTAAAGACCATACTATAACATGTATGACTTAGAAAGGCAAGATGGTGGCCACAACTATCTTGTCTCACCCATTAAGTATGCATATCACAGTGTAGGTAAAAAGGGCAGGGCTTTGATTACAGGATTGTAGCTGCCATCTTGATTTATTTGACTCCTTGCTGACACTCGTATCTTGCCTGGATTCTAATAGCAGCTTCTTTTCCTTCTAGGAAAGTGCAGTCTTCACAATCCATTTAGATCCAGACAGGGTACTGTTTAAACAAAAAGGTTGTTGCTGGTTAGTTGACACTTTTACTGTTGAATATACTGACTCTTTCTGCTTTGTCTTTCCTATCTACATTATTCATGATTAGTACATTGGTTAAGTTTTTCACACTATGCAAGGTGGAATGAGTCCAAACCATGATGCCATACTCCTGCATCACAGTGCCAATGAAATAAACTCCATGGGGATATTATTGATTGGTACTCATTGGCACAGTTGCAAAATAACTGAATAAGCACTAGATGTGTGTGTGTAAAAAAAAAAAAAAGAACAAACACGAGTGTCTGTCCTTGGGTTCTTAATTTAAATAGAATAATACAAACTATTTAATTTAAATAGAAAAATACAATAGAAAAGGAGATCCATGAAAAGGATAAATTCTGTACAAATTTGGAGACAGTGAAAGGAGAGGGATATGTTAAAAATGCTACAATTAAATTGCAAAGGGAAGACATAAAGTTAACTAGGAAATTCAAGGGAGAAATCTTAGTATTATACAAAAGTATGACATCACTCTCTGAATGTATGGAGGAATTCATCTTTGCCCGAACCAACTTCCTGCAGCTATAAACTCATCGCCACCACAGAGAGAGTGGGATTCTGCACCACTGTATCCTTCCTTTGTATATCTTTATGAAACATGTTTGCTATGGGTTAGGCCAGTGATGGCTAACCTTTTCCGGACTGAGTTCTCAAAGCGCATGTGTGCACGCACGTGCACGAACCCCCAAAATGCAATGCATGTACGGCCCACACGCAGTGCCCCATCCCTATGCATGTGCGTGCGGCTCACGCCTGTGCCCTGTGCATGGGCGTGTGCATGCACCCCATGTGCGCCCCACCCTGTGCATGCATGAGTCCGCTCCCGCACATGTGTCCCACCCCCAGTACATGCGTGGCAGAGAGCTGAAGACCAGCTGGCTGGTGGGAGGCACGCGTGCATGTGCGGCAGAGCTGAGCTAGGGTGATGACTTGTATGCCCACAGAGAGGGTAGTGCGTGCCACCTCTGGCATGCGTGCCATAGGTTCGCCATCACAGGATTAGGCTGATCTTCCCAGGGCTTTTATCATTCCTTCCTTCCTTCCTTTCTCAATTCAGTTCTCTTTCTCTTTTGACTCTGACTTGCACAGTTCAGGTTCCAGTCTCCATAATGGAGGGAATATCCTGCAGGCTCTTAGCTATAGAGTGGCTTCCAGCTTTCCTGTCATAGCTTTCCTGTTATTTCCTAAATGAAACTTAGTTTCTCTTCTGTCCATGTGCCAGCCTCAGGAACACTTCCTTATAAAAGTTGTATTCCTAACAATAGTGTTTTTTCTCAACATGTGTTCTTTTCTGCAATAAAAAGTTTCCTGCTACCCAGCAGGATGTTTGCAGGTTTGTGACAGAAATACGTGACTGGTAGGAATCACAAGAGCAGCTATTCTGAGAAAGCACTCTGGACATGTACCACAGAAATGAGAGGTAAACAATTTGAATCCTAGTTTCTGAGAATATTGGTATAGGGACATTGTGAACCAAAACAATATTAATTGCTTGAATACACTTAACATGCACATTTTTTTCTGAGCACGTCAAAGCATAAGAGGTGAACAGTGGGCATCAGGAGAAGGGATTTAACACTTTCTGATCCTGTGAAAAGTTTCCTCTCTCTAAAACTGCTTTTAGAGAGAAAACTGATATTGACATCTGTAAGAGCCCTTAAAAACTAGCTATCAGCTTTTGAAGGGTCCCTAATTTTCTTCTTAGAGCCAGTTTGCTTTAGTGATTAAAGCATCAGGCTAGAAACCCGGAGACTGTGAGTTCTAGTTCCACCTTAGGCACAAAGCCAACTAGGTGATCTTAGGCCAGTCACTGTCTTAGGCCTTCGGAAGGATGCAGTGGCAAACTATTTGGAAAAACCTTCCCAAGAAAACTGCAGGAGCTCAATCAGGCAGTCTCCAATCAGACAGCATGGAACAGAAAAATAATAAAAATCCTTTTAACCAGTAGTCCTGAGGCTACTTATCCTTTGTTGTATACTGTATACATCCTGTTTGATTGTTTGTCTGAGAGTTGGTAGTTCTTTCATTGGGGTATTGTTTACTGAAAGATTGTTGGTCAGGTATTAACCCTGGTGTTAATCTCTGCTAAGATGGTGTGAATTGCTGATGAGGAAATGTTTTAGTCTTTTTGTTTTCTTTTTGGCTTTATTGTCTCTTTTGAATGCTATGTAAATATTGTTTGTGTTGTTAAACCTAAAGAAGGATCAAACCATCAGCATCCTGTGAGCGGACAAAGGATGAACCCCACTTATTATGGACAGATCACAATATATACAACAAGCCAAAGAATTACTGGAAGACCTGAAAGAGACCTATATCATAGTTAATACCAATCCAATACAGAAACTAGACAACTGGATTAACAGAATCCTTGGTAATGTTATCAAGAAAAGTCATATCACAAAAGAAGAATAGTGGCAGATGAAAAGCAATGGATTCCCCCTCCCAAACACTGACAAATCGCACTCTCTTCTAGCACTGATGATGTTACTTAGTTGGTAATGAAATGTCTGCAAGAAAATAACCAAATTGAGAGAGCATCAAAGACCCAGAAAAGTGTATATTTACACTTCACTGCTGCCATTGGTGAAAAGCAGATGTAAGAGAAGGAATGGCACAGGTGTCAGCAACTCGCGGCTCTGGAGCCACATGTGGCTCTTTCAGCCCTCTGCTGTGGCTCCCGATGCTGCTGCTGCCGCCTCCATGGCCAGCCCGCACAGTGAAAGTTAATGCACAATGGGGGAGACGGGGTCCCTTCCTCCTCCTGGAGCCCATTATGACACAGAGCCACATTGTGACCCTCCAACAGCAGCGCTGTTGGCTGCAGCGCAGCACGGGGTGGGCCAGTGTCTTGGGGCGGAGAGCAGGTTGTGCATCCAGCACCAACCAAGGCTGGAAGCAGCCTCCCACCATTTCATGCTGCAGTTGGGCAGCAAGAGACAGAGAGAGACAGAGAGACAGAAAGAAAGGGAGAGAGAGAGAGAGAGAGGGAAAGAAAGAGAGAGAGAGAGAGTCATGTGACTGAGTGGGAGTGAGTGATGTCAAGTTGGCCACTCTCACTCAGGTTTTGTGGCTCCCGGTGTTTTCTTTTCTGTGGGAAACGGGTCCAAATGGCTCTTTGAGTGTTTAAGGTTACAGACCCCTGGAGGTGGAGTCAAAAAGGGGATCAGGCTAGAAGCCCTACATAGCCACAAGTGAACTAGGTCTACCCCCTCCCCCTGCCCGAGTGACTCAGAGAACATAACCAAGCTAAGAGACTACCAAGGACCTCACAGAGAAGTGTATATTTGCACTCTGATGTCATTGGTGAGAAGCAGATGTAGAAGAAAGAATGATAGAACATGAAAGCTGAGTGAAAAGGGAGGTTATCTTAAAATCCCCTAGAATTACATATTCACAAACATCTAAATCCAACCTCCCTTGAGTGCTATTAACCATTAGCTAACTCAATCCAGGTTCCAACTTCAGTTCAGAAGATTCCTATGCATAGGCTTTTAGCAAAAAACCGGCTTAATTGAATCTTCATGTGTGGACCTGGTCTTTCACACCCCATAAAGGGGAGAAGTGAAAACATCGGTCTAATTCTTGTTTTTCCTCCTATTTCTTCACACCTGGAGTAAGGAACCGTCCTGTTCAGGAATGGTTGAAGACATCTTGCTGCTCGGGGTAACCTCCCCACAATCTACATTAGCCTTAGCATTGTTTTGCAGTGTGAATGGACCAGAACAGAAAGCTTTCAGTAGCATTGGAGGCAAAGGTATAATTGCATTTCCCCTTCTGGTCTTCAAAACCTCATGAGGACTGGTCTCTTGACTTCTTGAGGTAGCTGTTTCAGGCTGCCTAGTGGTTAAGTCAGGCTTGTTTCTAAAGAAAACTGTGTTGCTTCCCTTAGTCAGGTGGGTGGTCAGTATATCTGGATGTCCCTTAAAAACCAATATTAAGTGCCATTGTTCTTTATCATCGCTAGCTGTGAATACAAATAAAATATTTGAATGTAAGGCATATTTTGAACAACCTTGCGTAAAATATAGTTAAATTATTACAATAGAGCTTGTTTATTAAAATAATGAAGTGATGTTATTTCTCCATTCCTGGTGTCTTAGTACCTGATATTATTCTAGTCCTGTTTCCATGGAAACAGCACACACTGTTCCTTTTGCTTGACCTGAAGTTCAAGCCCTGCTGATGCTGTTGAAATGCCAAGAAACACCTACACTTTTATTAAAAACAAAAATTAGATATGCAAAAAAAATAAAATCTAAAAGAAAGAAGTGAAGACCTGTGATTTATATTCCGGCAAGGGAGAGGAATAAGAATAGCTATGACAAGGAAATGAGAAATAACTGTTTCAACTATTTTAGCAGCATGCTACATTCAATTTGTCAAATCACTTAGATTTGGATGGAATCATTATCTATTAATGCTTGTACGTTACGTGTTTTGTTTCTTAGAAGTTTCATTAGATGGCCAGAAGCTTGCTGTTTTAACAAGTATATTTTGGAAAGTATAAAGTTAAGCTGTTCCTAAGGCTGTGTGTCAATTTGTATAGATCGTAACAAAGAAAAAATAGGACTAAATCAGGACTAAAATTTACATTAGGAGCATTTTGTTACAAGCACCACTGACCTAAAATTGTAGAAATATCAGGAAATCAATTGTACTTCGGTAAATTCTAATTTAGTGAATCTAGCTAGAAATCTGAACAAACCAATAGTCATATCATATTTACTCTAGTGGGAGAAGTGTATGAGCACAGACTATTCCTTTCAGAACATAATACAGGATTAAAGACTAATTATACATGTAAGTAGTAGCAATTTGGTATCTCTTATTTTTCTTATATATAATCAGGGATAAATTCAACCTTGCAATAGACAATGAGATGAGGCAGAATGCAGTTGAGCTACAACTGCTGAAAGTCCAATTTTATTATTTATAGCTTACACAAAAGGCTAGTATGTTTTTTAACTATATATGCTAATTGGTTGGCCAAAGGAAAAGTATCCTTGGTTCAAGCCACTGTCAGTAGATAAGTATTTTTGGTACCTACAATACTTAGTCTCCTTCTCATCAGGTTCTGTAATTTATTCTCCCAAAGTTTCTCAGTCTCTGTCTCTGTCTCTCTCTGTCTCTGTCCCTGACTCTCTCTCTGTCTCTGTCTCCCTCTCCCTTTCCCTCCCGATCTTTGTGAATTCTGCAAAACTAGATGCATAAGAAAAAATTGGAGTAAGTAATAGCATGTATAGGTCACCATTTCACTCTTTCAGTGCTCCTGATTAGGATTAGGAGACTCATTCCCCAGCTATTTTGCACTGAGAAGAAAAATTAATTGACACCAATGGGATATATTTATTAATTTTGTAATCTTCCAATACAAGCATAGATGGGGACGGTGGTGGTATTCCTACCTACACCAGGATTCTAATCTGAATTGTCTATTCATTTACTTTTTGAAATCTACTCTAAAAATTATTCAAATGGTGTATTACATCTAGCTTGGCTTTCTGCAAACAGCAAATAGATTTTTTGTATCCACCACGTGGTGCAAATGAGAACTCCAGCGGAAGTCAATTGGTGAGGTTAAACTGTATTTAACAACCTTAAGACTACATTAGAAGCAAAACTGCACACGTACAAAATGGACACAAGGTGTTGATAAAATTGTGACATAATAAAACACCTTTTAGCATAATGTGGTATTGCTGGCAAGTGGTGAATTATAGAGGTGGACATAAAAAAGCTAATGGAAAGTAGGTCACTGGAAGATATAGAGAAATGAGAAACAGCTTCATAAGAAAGAATGGAAATGTTATGGTAATTATAAAAAAAAAATACAAATTTACTACTGAGCAGGAAATTAGAGCAAATAAAGCCCGTACTGTAAAGTAAAAGAGGAAGCACTTAATGGACTCTCTTTAAGTCACACTTCAAAAAGATTATTGTTAATGTGTGCTAAATGAAATGATGTAGGAAGAAACAGAATAGAAATCTAGTAAAAATTAACATTTTAGAACATTCAAATTGGCCAGATGGTCATAAAATTTATGTTTGCAAATTGCTAAACAGACAGCTAAATCATCCTTAGAAAATGTCTAAAATCCATAAAATTATCCATAGCAGGAAATAGTTAAATATTATTTTTGCAGAAAGTTGGGGGGTGTCATATGGAATAGGTATAAATGCTCATGATTGATGCCCTGATGCCATTGTCATCTCGGATAAATAAATTTGGAAGTTTTTTGATAATGCTGCAACATCATGCAAAGCCTACATGATTGGGAATGAAAAAAGAAATGTAGCTATGGATTACAATATTTCTGTTGTTCCATTTTCAACTGGTTGAAAAACGGAGAAGTGTTGAATTCGGGTGCTTAATTCATAGAGTTCCTGGTGCTATAAATCAAAAAGCATTGAGTGAGGATTTTTTTTTTAATGGATTTTCTCCAGAAAAAAATCTGAAAGAGAAAATATTTGGAAATGATGGAAGGTTACAAATGGAGGACAAAATGTAAAAAAAAAAAATATCCATGAACAATAAAGAGTAATTATGCAGGTAAATCCTTTGAAACGGCTTATATTAATGCTTCTTTTGGTTGTCTTCCCTCACGTGGCTCTTCAGAAACTGTTAAGTTTATTATGTAACGGCTTTTATTGGAAGAGCTAGCTTGTTCATGCCACTGTAAATATGACCATTTTTCAAGATGTCACTGATTTTTTAAAATAATGTTTTGGGGAAACACAGCCATGTAAATCTTGAATTCAATCTGTATTCCATTTATCTCTTGGTCTGAGAAAAGTCTGAAGATCAAATCATGCATGTTTCTCAGAGGGAACATCCTACAGTACTTGCAGCATACAGATCTGCTGTTGTAAATTCTTACTGGAAAAGAAATTATATTTTTTTAAAAATATATAAAATCATAACTTGAAAGGGTCATTGAACACATCGATTCCAATCCCTTACTCAGTGCACAAATGCAAATTAAAGTATGCCTTAAAGATGGGTATCCAGGCTCTGTTTGAAAACATTCAGTGAATGGAAACTCATCACCTCCCTTGGTTCCTTTTCTCATTAGCTTCTTCTTCCATGAAACCCTACGTATCATTGCTCTGAGTTTATTAAAATTCATTTCCTTTAAGAGGCATGTTTCACTATTTTCAGCTTTGGATTCTCTTAAATTAAAAAAAAAAATTCCAGCATTATGTAATCACTTTCCCTGAAAGTTCTTACTACATCTACATTGTCTAGTAAAATCATTTACATTGGTAAGAGTGACATCAACATGTCTCCTTAATTCCCTGAAGGATAAGATTGTCAGCAAGTTACATTAGGAATTTCCTGGAATAATCGGGCTTGCTAGAGTTGGTCTTCTAGCTGGTCATTATAGATAGTCCTCAGCTTACAACAGTTTGTTTACCAACCACTCAAAGTTACAATAGCACTGAAAAAAGTGACTTATGGCCGTTTTCACACTTACAACCGTTGCAGTCCTCAAAGTCACATGATCAAAATTTGGACGCTTGGCAAATGGCATGAATTTAGGATGGTTGCAATGTCCTGGGGTCATGTCATCAGCTTTTGAAGCCTTCTGACGAGAAAACTCAATGGGGAAGCCAGGTTCACTTAACCACTGTACGACTAACTCAACAACTGCAGCAGTGGTAGGATTCAGCCAGTTC